GCCCCACGTCCTGGGCCTTGGCCCTGGCCTAGAGGGAGCACCCTGGTTTTGAATGTGCATGAAGTGAACTAATTTCTGTTAATTTGGAGTTGCTTCGTGCCTCCTGGGGAGGTTCTGGATGTGGGAAGGTGAACTGTGTGTGGAGCTGGTGTGGAGGGTGGGAGCTGATGGAGGCAGGTTCTGTGCAGTCCTGCTGGTGAGGGGCTGTGGGACCTGCCCTGCTGTGGCCTAAGAAAAGTCATTTATGTGCTTCTTACACTCAGCCCTAACATTTACAGGTCCTTCTCCTGTCCTTGTCCCATGGGTAGCAGTGACTTGTAAGTCCTTTCCCCCAGCTGCCTGTGCCTGATGCTGCACGTGGAGCGAAGGCCTCGTTCCACGCTTCCCTTTTGGACTCTCTCCTGGTTTCCAGCCCTTCTTCTCTGGCAATAATGTATTACTCTCTCCTTCGGTTTATGGATCATGGATTGAACAGACTTCTGTGCTGCAGAGGAATGTATTGGCTCGTTCTCCAGGGAGACAGGGTTTGCACAAAGCTGCAGATGATTTCCCCTGGACACAGTCAGGGCCTGGTGACTGGAGGAAGAACATCTGTGTCATTTCCCTGCAGCTGACCACAGGCATGTCTTCACTGCCTCCCTTCATGTGTTCTGGCTGTCCCACCAGCTCTCTCTAGGGGCCATATTTTGGGGGGGGTAGTCCCATTTTAACACCATGGTTTATGTCTTATATGTTACATAAGCACTCCTAGAAAATATTTTTTTAGCACTGAACAAAACGATTTGTGTTTGAGCGTAACTCAGGATTAATTTTTGCTCCCAACTGAATGAGAGCAGTCAGTGGTTGCCAGTGATCCAGACTTCCCTGTGCTGTGTGTAAGTGCATGATTCAGCTCTCAGAATGCTCTCAAGGCAGGGCTCTGAAGTTGTATCAGCTGATTGAATCTGGGTGTGTTCAGAGGGGAGACCTTCATATCCTCCAAAGCTTTCTCAGGTGTAAGTAATGTTCTTCCCAGTTTACAGCCCTGCAGCTGAGGAGAAACTCAGGCTTTTGTGTTGAAGTTTTCACCTCAGTGCATCGACCAAGCCCTCTGTGTTTACTAAGTGGGTCTATTCAAAAGGTAGAGACCAGAATAGAGCTGATGTGACTCATAGTGCAAACAAACAGCTGGAAAAAGTGAACAATACTCAAATCTTCTGGGCCTCTAATTCACCAAAGTGGTTTGGTAGGAATTTTAACTTAACAAATGCAAAAAAAACCCCTGCTTGCCAGTTCACAGTTAATGCTGGGCTTCCTGTCAGGGGCTGTTGATCTGAGTTAGGCAATTCAGCTCAAATTCTTTTAGATTTGTGGCTGTGCCTGTTCAGATGGAGCTGCTGGGAATAACTGTGCTGCTCCTCAAATAGGAGCTGAAATAGTTTGTGGAGTCACCATGGCTGGGGTAGGAGGAGGCTCTCCCGTGCCACTTTTTTCTTACCCCAAATAAGCTTTGTTTACTGGCTTCTTCAGGACATGGAAGGAAAGGGGTTGGGTTTAGTTTTGTGTGTGTTTGAATTCAAGGCTGCCTGGAGACTGAAAACCGAGCTAATCTATGGGTTTAGATATTTTTCAATGCCTGTCCCCTTGGTAACAAAGCTGAAGTGCCCCCAGAGTTCTTTTCAGTGGTTCACTGCAGAGTCAGTGATGTTCTACCCTGCTTTGGCAGGGGGGCTGCAGGGACAGACAAGGGTTTCCTTTCCACTGCCCTGTCATCACTGGGAATCCTGGGCTGAACCCTCTGCCTTTCTCCCTGTTCCGCAGCAAAATGTCCCGAGTTTTGACTGTCAGAACTTCAAGGATCCTGTGGTGCCACTCACACAATCTTTGTAAGTTCATCAGAGATTTTGTGGATCTGCAGAGGCTCAGAGAAAAAGGAAATGGCTGTGTGGGCAGTCAGGCAGTGGAGATTCTGCTCAAAGTGCAGAAACAGCTAAACCTGGAGCAAGAAAATAACTTCATTTGTGGTTTTGTTTAATTGATATCTCCAGTGTCACTGTTTCAGACAGTGATCTGGAGAATGCAGCTCTTACTCTGGTGTTACTGTGGCAAGGACAACCTGTTGATTTCCTTGGATTGATTGTACCAGTAGGATTATACCCCTTTGCCTCTTGCAAAACACAAGAATTTAGGGTTTTCCTGTTGCTGCAGCAGAAATACAGCAGCGATTTACTTCTTCTGGCACTTGGTATAGGAGGCCTGGAATGCTGGGACACAAGTGAGGCTTTCTTTTCCTGAGGACATATATTGTTATTTCTTTGGAGCAGTTCGTATTCTCCGGGCAACGTTTGGCAAATAAATAGAGGGACAGAGAGAGTGAGTTGGGTGGAAATGCAGCTATTTGCCCCCAAGATACAATCAGATGCATTTTTGCAGCATGACTGTAGGGTGGGTACAGACTCTACTAAGATTTACTGTTCTCCCCATACTTTAGAAATTCAGTCTGTATTTGTGAGTTATTTTGATGGCACCCATTAAATGCTCTGCGAGTGCCACCCTTCCCGCCGTGCAGAAAGGCAGGAGTAGTTGCAGCAGTGAGCAGCAGCTCTGTGTGTAACACTGTGTTGGCTGCAGCCCTTCCTGTGTGGGCTTTGTTTACGCAGCAAATTTAGACAAATTATCTGAACCCGTCACCAGCAGACGCCCGAGCTGCAAATGAGCACAGCCACGTGGTGACCTCACTGCCACCACTTGTCTCAGCCTCATTTAATCCAGCCAAGCTTTCCTGAGCAGCCCTGGGCAGGTAAGTCCTTGCTCTGTGTGTGTTTTTTATCCAGGTATGAATTGCCACCTAAAAGAAAACCCCTTGTGCTCATTTTTCTCTTCTAAGTGGCCAGTTACTTAATAAAATGAAGGTTTTCTTTCAGTATTGGATGATGTTGCTTTGTAGAAAGATAGTTTAGATACATCATGAGATGCTTTAGGTGGTGGTAGGTGTGAAGATGGGAGAGGATATTTGGTGTGGAGGAACCAGGCATTAATTATTCCCTCTAATGGACTTTGCAGTGTGATGAGGTAGAGTAAGAGATTCCAGGCTCTGTGTCCACAGGTTTTCCCGAAGGGAGCAGGACATTTCTCTCAGTCTGTCTGTGCTGGGCCCTCTCTGAGCAGTGCAGAACTGGGCACTCCTCAGCAGGAACAAATTCAGAGGAAAGACAAAGGGCCCAAGTGCTGCTGGAGCAAGAAGGTTGTGAGGGCACAAGGGGGCTGCGACAGATGAGGGGGAGGCACAGACAGAGCTGAACATACAGGGCACAGAGGAAGGACTTGGGGAGGGAGGCAAAGACAGTTGCTGATTGCAGGGTGGAAATAGGAGGTGTTTTGGGTTGGATACCAGGAGAGACAACAATTGCCTCCAGGTGAGAGGCAGGGGAAGCATCAGCAGCCAGGGCTCGCACACCCCACGGCAGGGAGGACGCACAGCAGGGCCAGTGGCAGCTTTGCCTCTGCCTTGGTGGCCCTTCCTCTGAACCCAGCAGCTTCCAGCCTCAGGGAAATCCTTGAGCACTGCCCTGGAGGAGCAGCCTCCGAACTCTGCCTTTGGTCTGCGGGGCAGGCACAGAGGCTCGTGTTGTACCCAGTGTTGCAGTTTGTGCTGGGAGCACAGCAGGACACCCCTGGCATTGTTCCTCAGCCAGGCTCCAGCACAGCCATTCCTGGGTAGCCCTGTCCTGGTTGTGTCACTGCACATCTGGAGCCCATAATAAGTTGTTGTCTTCCCCGGGTTGCTCAAATCATTGGATTTCTTCTCCCGAGTTCTTGTTTTTATCACTGCACAGCCAAGTGTCATTTAGCTGATCCATCTGTGCCGAAACCCTGTATTCCAAGATCTTTCCTTGTTTTCCTTAAATAACTTCCCTTTGCATAAGACCTTGGCCTTGCACAGCACCCTTTCTGGGACTGAGCTGGACAGTTTTAGTAAGAGCAGCTCTCACTGTGCCTGTTTTCCATGTCTCCATCAGGACATCCCTCTTGTAGGGCCCTGGTGATCTCAGCTGGCAAATGCCCTCAGTACAACGTCCAGAACACACATTTCTGGGGCTCCACTGAACAATGCAACATTTGCTGCCAGCAGTCATAAACCACACCAGCTGTTGGGGTAGATTTACACCTATTCCCTTCAGAAATGGCTCAGATTAATTCATTTTACAAAAGAACACTATTTATTCACTGCAGCCCTCTTTCCCTCTTTTGCCTGTATTTACATTCTGCAGCTTGTTGGCAATGCAAGCTTGGATTAAAAAATGCCCAGTTAATTAGAAGACTAAATAAATTGTTTTTCAAAACTATCATGTATACATATATCTGCAGATTCCAGTACATCCTACAGAGGGATGGTAACAGAGAAGATGATCCTGGGTCTTTCCACCCTCAAAAAGTCTGTGAGGTTTGCCCAGCTGTGGCACTATACAGGTATTTAATTTATGAATAAAAAGCCCAAAGTATTTTTCCATTTGGAAGGGACCCATCTCTTTCTAATGTTATGCAACCCAGACATCTTGGTTTGGGTTCCCTGCAGCTGCCAAAGCCTTTCCCAGCTGCCTTCCTTGGAGTCAGGGTTCCAGCATGTTTTTCACTGGGTCTCGGACCTCTGACACTCTGAACTTCCTTCCCAGAGATCAGAAATACCATCAGGACTAACACATTGTTTTTATTGCCTGTGTCAGTCTGAGAATTTCCAGTGAAACTTTTAAAGGTACATTGCCAAGGTGACATTTCCAAACAAAATGCATCAGCACGGACAAGACAGAAACAGAGTGTTCTCCTGAGGGAGGAAAGAGAAAATATCCTCCTGGAGAGTGGAGAAGGCACAAAGCGGGGTCTGCTCTGTCCTTCGTGGAAGTTTTGTTGTGTGGCTGGAGAGTTTGGGCCCTTATTTAAGCATCCTCTGAGAGATTCTGGAAGTGGGAAGCTCCTCCTGTCAGGAATTCACCCCTGTTAAGAGCAGAATTGAGCAGCAGCACATCTTGTGTGGCTGCTCCGTTCCTGAAGGGCCACAGGGAAAGTTTCCTGCCCAGTCTGCTCACTGCAGACGCTTGGAAAACGTGACCGATGGGTTTGCTGAGGTGGGAGATGGTTGGAGGAGTGATCTCTTCATTGGTGGCAGGTGGTTGGGATGCTACAATCAGCCAGGGCTGTAATTCCGTTGGACTGAGTAGGTTTGATGGCTTTGTGTTCCTGCACAGGGTGTTGCTACACCCTCAGAAATACTTGGTTGTGAAATGATTGAATTATTGAATGAGCTGTTGTTCTGTTGCCTCCAAGCTCCAAGCTCACCCTTTTGTGAGCACAGGAGCTGAAATCCATTGGTCCACCCCAAACCCCACAGTGTCACTCTGACAGGGGCACGTGTGGAAGTTACATTCGGGTGCAAAGCAGGGGCTGAACTTTGCATCTTGCTCCTCTGACAAGTTCAGGGAGGTGAGGCCGTATTCCCTCCCCCCTCAGGTTGTTCAGATGAATCCTTTCAGTGCTTGTCTTCTCCAAAGTCTTTCCCTGCATCCAGTGCCAGCTGGAGCAGCCGTGCTGTTCCTCTGTGTCCCATCAAACTTCCCAGCTTTCAGCTGACAAAGTGTTGCCTCTGCTGCCGATGTCTCTTAATTCCTTCCTCTCCCGTTGGCCTCGTGACGGGATATTTGGCTCGTTTGCCCCTCGCTGAGCCGTTGGTAATGGATAGCATATTGTCTGGAGCTGGAGCCTGCTGGGATTCAGCCTCTGAGTGGCTGAGGAGGCTCCGAGATTCCAAGAGCCCTGTTGCACAAACACGTTCCGCCCCTGCACTGCCGAGGGGGTGGGTGTGTTTGTCCCTGATAAAAGATTGGCTTCTGCCCTTCATCTGCCCCAGCAGCGAGAGGAGGCAGCTGGGACTCCCCACAGCTTCTGCAGAGAAGGGAGAAGCCCATTTGCTCCTAGAAATGGGCAAAAAGGACTTCAATTATCTTTTCCTCACCGTTTTCTGCACGATGGCCCTGAAGCTGAGCTGTGTCAGCTCCATGTCCATGGCAGGGCTGGGATATGTTGTTACAGCAGCTGTTGTGCTCTCAGCTGTGGTAAGTCATTAACATCCCAGTTAAACCCTGGAAAACTTCTGGGGTTTAGGTACTTGTAAGAGTCCCACTGTCTTTTAACTCTCTGTCTGTGTGGTTCTGAGGTGGGAGTTTGGGAGAAGCGGAGTTGGGCTGACTGGAATCACTGCAATGAAGTTCATTGTTCTCCATCTTTGAGATCTGATTTCAGCTTAGGAGTCACTGGTACCTAACTTGCTGTTTTGCTTTCTAGTTTGTAACATCCTTTATTTCTGCCTTGAAAGCTCGGCATATTGTCCTTTTGTCCACCAGCTGCTGTGAACTGTCTTCTTTGTCAAAACACTGGATGCTTCTAATGGAATATTTGAATGTTTTCTTCCTTGTTACCTGATAGCACCCCAAGGCATGATGTGATCCATGGACAAACTTCACTGCCAATGCAATAGAAACATTCCATTTCCTTCCAGAATTACCAAAGGGAATTCTTTTATAGCAGGGAAAAGTGTTGATGATGTTTGTTAAAGTAATGGATATTGCATAGTGTGAATATATTGCATAAGGATGGCAATAAACATATTAAACCAAAATTGCAATGTCCTTAGGACAGGATGTTGTGTAAATTACTGTCATTCCTACAAGGGACAAGTTACACAGAAGTTCTGAAGTAACTTGCCAGAACAGAAGAGCTTTAAGAAACCTGTTCATTACCTAAATCTGATGACATTCACAGCATTTTCCAGAAAGAGCTGGGTAAGATCACACTGGTTTTAGGAAACCTGTAAACAATGTTTGTGCAAGATGTGCAATGTGCAGTTAAAAGGGGTTTGTTTCCGAGAGTCTGGAATGTCATGCAGCATTTATAGGAAAGGGAATTAGCCCTTCACTTATGTGCCATATTGAAAAGTTATAGGTTGATAAGGAAAATATGTATATTAAAATCAAGAGAGGTGGACAACAAACAAAGAAAATAGAGTCCAGGAAAGGGTAAGTCAGGAAGTGAAAATTAACAGTGATCAATGCGAGAGAAAGAAGGAATCTTTGCACTTGTTGCCTGGAACAGTAAGTTGAGGGGTCAGAAGCAATTTAATTTAAACACACCCTTCTCTGTATTCTGCACACTGAGCCCCATCCTCTGTCCCCTCAGCCTGTCACCATGGTGGAACACGCCGAGTTCCTGAAGGCTGGCAAGGAGCCCGGCCTTCAGATTTGGAGAGTCGAGAAGTTTGACCTGGTCCCGGTGCCTAAAAACCTGTATGGAGACTTCTTCACAGGAGACTCCTACCTGGTGCTGAACACCATCAAACAGCGCAGCGGGAACCTGCAGTACGACCTGCACTTCTGGCTGGGTGAGTGAGGGGAGTGGCCTGGGAATGGGGAGCCCAGAGCAACCCCTGAGCCTCCCACGGCCCCTGCCCTGGCCAGGGAATGCCACCCAAGGAGATAAAGAGCCCGGCTGGCAGCACAGGAGGTGCAGCTCGGGGTGGGTGTAGCCCTGCTCACCTTCAATATTTGCAGTGGTGCCTGCAGTAGTGAGTAGGGCCACCTCTGCTCCTAAAAATACCTTCTCCTGATCAAGATGACACAGTAAGTCCCTGTTCTGCTGAGGTTCACAGGAAGGACAAGATCTGAGGTGAAAGGGGTGGCTGAAATCCTTTCTGCCCCAAAGGGTGGAGGTCAGGTGTTACTCTCCTGACTCAGGGAGTGGGATTTTCCCGTCCTACCTGCCTGCTGCAGTAAACGTCACAGAGGGCCATGTCAAGGCTTCCCCCACATCCTGCAAACCCCAGACCCTTTGGCAGCATCCTCCAAGCTGTTGGCTTTCCCTGTTTCAGGTGATGAGAGCTCCCAGGATGAGCGAGGGGCCGCCGCCATCTTCACGGTGCAGATGGACGACCACCTGCAGGGCCGGGCCGTGCAGCACCGCGAGGTGCAGGGCCACGAGTCCCCCACCTTCCTGGGCTACTTCAAATCCGGCATCAAGTACAAGGTGGGTGTTCACTGGGGCTTTGTGGCACCTCTGGGAATGGAGTTTGCAGCAAATGGCACCCTGCCCTCCGCCCAGGTCTCAGGAGAGTGAGAAGTGCCCTTTTTCCAGTTGCTTAAAACCTACTCTCAGCCAGATGTTTTCAGTGAGTTGGAACAGGGTGGAGAACAGCAGATCCCACTGGGAGAGATTTGGCTGAATTAATAATACACAAGAAAAGCCCCAGAAAATTTTAGGAATCAAGGTTTTGTTTTTCTTCGAGAAGCAGAGGAAAGAACAGTCCCGGGACACCTGGAATGAATTAAAAAAGCAGCAGAGTTGATGGGAAACGCCCACCCAGGAGATTTGACTTCTCCTCACTTGCATAGCAGTTTGACCTTCCTAGACTGTTTCTGTGCTGAACCCTCCTCCTCAGCATGTGCAGTGTTTTGGTAAAGCAGATGAACAGTAGTGGGAGTTTCTCTTCTCTGCCATCACGGTGAAGTGGGATAGAAGTGAAAACATGCAGTGAAGAGCAGTTGTGTCTGTAGGAGTCCAAAGGCACAAGGAAAGCGGTATCAGGCCAAATGCTTGCAAAGTGCCCACATTTCCTCATGTCTAAGACTTTCCTGGGCTTTCTGTCGTGCTTATCTCCCACTCATTTGTTATTATTTTCATTCACTTAAATTTGGTTGTGCTTTTCTTGAGGATAAGTGACATGAGCCCTGTTGCCTGCATGGATAAGGAATTCCAAGTGTTTCTTTAACAGCAGAGAAGGTGAATCGTGAGGTTGGGATAACCTGTGGTTGGCAGGACATGTTATACACATGGCAATACACTCTTCAGCAGTCCCCGTGTGAATCCTTGTCCCTGTGTTTTCCCTCAGGCTGGTGGTGTTGCTTCTGGCTTCAGACACGTGGTCCCCAACGAGGTCACTGTGCAGAGGCTGCTGCAGGTCAAAGGCAGGAGAACAGTGCGGGCCACGGAGGTCCCTGTGAGCTGGGACAGCTTCAACACAGGGGACTGTTTCATCCTGGACCTGGGCAGTGTGAGTACCATGGAAAAGGCAGGTCTGGCAGATTTCCAAGGGCAGGAGCTGTCCCAGAGTCACGGAAGGGTTTTTTTGCCCTGCTCTGGTGATGTCTGAAGCAGCCTGACATCGGTCAGTCCCAGCCATCGAGTCCCATCCCATCCAGAAAGGGGGTTGTCACACTGACAGATTCTCCTCTTTCCCCCAGAACATCTTCCAATGGTGTGGCTCCAACAGCAACCGGCAGGAGCGGCTCAAGGCCACGGTGCTGGCCAAGGGCATCCGGGACAACGAGCGCAACGGCCGCGCCAAGGTCTACGTGTCCGAGGAGGGATCCGAGCGGGAGGAGATGCTCCAGGTCAGTCACTGCTCCAGTCTGTGCTGCAGGGGGAAGGGTGCTGTGTGGAAGGGTCGGTGGGATGGGTGGGCAGGCTCAGTGGTGTCTTTCCCTGTGAAGTGTCAGTGGTGTGATCACACAGCTCGGTGCGGACTCGGCTCTCTGCGTCGCTGGGACATCAGGGTGTACTTACACTGTCGGGCTGGAATTTTTTCCCACTTGTTCCCTTGACTGGAGCATCTGGGAATGAAGGTCCCCTTGGACTGGCTGATAATGATTTTTCTCTCTCTCTCTCGAGGTCCTGGGACCAAAGCCCACTTTGCCACCAGGAGTTTCTGATGAGACCAAAACCGACACAGCCAACAGAAAGCTGGCCAAGCTCTACAAGGTAACGAGGTCCTGACATAACACTGGAGAGAACAGAGTGCTCTTTGTTCACTTAGATGGGGCTGGAATAGCAGAGAGGAGTTGAGCTGATCCCAGTCCTGCTCCTGCCTCACTCTGCTGTTGGCTTTTTATCAAGCTTTGTGTATGGGCCTTGGTTGCTCACACCACGTGTCCATGTGCTTTTGGTGTCCTTATCACCACTCTGGACTGTAGGGAGACAGTAATGATGGGGTGAATCTCTGCCAGAATGGTTTGTAATGTGGAACTTCACCCCTTAATCAGTACAGAAACTCAGATTAGTAACCCCACTCAATTCAGGGAGGCCTGTTCTCAGCTGCCCTCCATCCTCAAGTGCAGTTGGTTGGCTCTAGAAGGTATCTCTTGGCTGCCTTTGCACCAAGGATATTTACCACTTTGGACCAATCTCTCTTTGGTCCCAGCAGTACCTGCTTTGCTGGAAGCACTTGAGTTCTTCAGAATAAGTGTTATGTTTTTGTCATACTGTTTCTGTGTCAGAGGTATCCTGTTTGAAAACAATAGTGCCTGCAGAGCCAGTGCATTCAAATGTATTTCCCTTCCCCTGCCTGAGTTCTGAACTGGGGGAGGAGCAGGGAGTGCCTTGTGTGACCTCTGTGCTGTGTTGTCACAGGTCTCCAATGGGGCTGGGAACATGGCAGTGTCCCTGGTGGCAGATGAGAACCCCTTCTCCCAGGCAGCCCTGAGCACAGATGACTGCTTCATCCTGGACCATGGCACAGATGGGAAGATCTTTGTTTGGAAAGGTACCAGAGACAACCAGGGAGAAAAGAGTTAATGTCATAAGTAGAAAGGCAGTTGTGTTTTCTCTCAGCCATCAAAAAAGGCACAAAAGAGATCAAACACTTGTCATTTGCTGTTTGGCATCATTTATGTGGGAGGCCTGGCCCTTCTACTGTTGCAAAAGGTTCCTGGGGCAGTTTCTTCTTTGGGTAAAAAAAAATTGACCTCTTTTCTCTCTGTTTTCATCAAAGGCAAAGGTGCCAACTCTGAGGAGAAGAAGGCAGCACTGAAAACAGCTTCTGAGTTCATTGACAAGATGGGTTACCCCAAACATACCCAGGTAAGGAGGTGCAGCCCTCCTGTGACCAACCCCAAGCACGGGGGACACTTCTCTGCCTCATGGGCTGGGGACTCCACTCCTGGCCTTTCAGGGAGCTCCTGGTTTGGGTGATCTGCTTTTCTGCAGGGAGACACTGCAGTGCTGCTCCTGGACTAACCCTGCCCTTAAACAGCATTTCCCCCAGCACAGCTCATGTTCTCGTGTCAGATACCCTCACCTTGGCCGTGACCTCTCTCCAAAGAGTGCAAAAGAGAAGGGGTAGATAAACCTTGGGGAGATGCTTCTAAAGGCTCGTTCATTTCAGATCCAAGTCCTCCCTGAGAGTGGTGAGACACCTCTGTTCAAGCAATTCTTCAAGAACTGGCGGGACAAGGACCAGACAGAGGGGCTGGGCCAGGCCCACGTTTCTGGTCACATTGCCAAGATCGAGCAGGTCCCTTTCGACGCGGCCACTCTGCACAGCTCCAGGGCCATGGCTGCCCAGCACGGCATGGAGGATGATGGCTCCGGCAAGAAACAGGTCAGCAGTGCCAGCACCCCTCTGGGGAGCTTCCCAACCTTCTCTTTGCCCCTCGGTGGCATTCCTGCAAGAGCAGTGGGACAAATGGAGGCCTGAGAGCCGTCTCAGCACTGGGCTTTTGTGAGCACTGGGGCAATGTTTAACACCAGAAATGCCAGCAGGGTCTGGAGAGCCCTGCAGGTAAGTGGTGGTGATTCTGTTAATTCTGACCCCACAGTTTCCCTCATTCCTCCTCCTCCTGGTTGTTGTACCTGTTGCCATCACGTGTGGGGGGTGATTCTGTGGGAGCACCTGTCCCATTCACCCTGTGCCCGTACAGACAGGGCTGGAGGTGGGACTGAAAGGGCTGAGCGCCCTCCGGAGGTGCCGGCCAAGGTTTGGCTGTTCAGAAGTCCCGCGGAAAGCCTCGGAGCTCCCTTCCCTGGAGAGGGATGGGAATCGTCCCGTTGTCGGGTCCATGGCGCTGTCGGCCCTGGCCCGGCAGGGGGCGCTGCAGCCCCGCGAGCGCCGGGATGCGGGATTTGGGGGATGCGGGATTTGGGGATGCGGGGTTTGGGGGATGCGGGATTTGGGGATGCGGGGTTTGGGGGATGCGGGATTTGGGGGATGCGGGATTTGGGGGATGCGGGATTTGGGGATGCGGGATTTGGGGGATGCGGGATTTGGGGATGCGGGATTTGGGGATGCGGGATTTGGGGATGCGGGAGCGGGAGAAGGGCTCAGGGCTCGAACTGACGAGGCATCTCTGCTGCTCCCGCCCCAGATCTGGAGAATAGAAGGCTCCGAGAAGGTGCCGGTGAATCCCGCGACCTACGGGCAGTTCTACGGCGGGGACAGCTACATCATCCTGTACGACTACCAGCACGACGGCAGGAAGGGCCAGATCATCTACACCTGGTGAGGGAGCTCTGCTGCATGCCAGGTCTGCCTGGAAAATGGATCTCTGCTGCTCCCCACTTACAGAGGAGCCTTGGGGAGTAAAATTTCACCCTGGATAAGTATCCCTTGCGAACAAAACACTCCCTCAGAGGTGTGGGATGTTTCACTTGAAGTGGAACAATGGAGGGAATTCCTGTGCTAGTTTTTTTTAGCTTCCCCCCCCCAGTAGTAGTTACTCCCTTCTTTGGATCAAACTCTGCTGCTTTTTGCAGAGTTCCTACACTTTTGAGATCACTGTGAGGAACTTCTGATACTCTGCTGTTGTGACTGGGACAGTTCCCAGCCCGTGTCCTTATGGAGGAATTTTCCAGTCAGGCTCACAGGGGTGGTTTTGCTGCTCCTCAACAAGCAGAGGGCACAGGCAGAACCCCTGAGTGAACCTAGAAGGGACACAGCCTGCCCAGGGGCTGCACGTGTAACTCCTGATCCCAGTGCCAACAGCTGTGTTCTTAAACTGGAAAGAACAGGAGACTGGGCTGGAGATCCTGCAGAATCTGTGCTGCTTATCTAGCAAAGGTTCTTGTCTCCCCCTGTAATCCCTGTGCTGCAACACAGGACAACCAATGTCTCCTTCCTGTTGAGTGAAGGTTTGGTAACTCAGGTTTTCCTTAACTCCTCTGGATCTCTGTAAGGTGTGTGTGTGTCTGGAAGGGCTGAAAATAAAGCTGGAATTTGGCCTTGTCTCCCAGGCAGGGAGCTGACTCCACACAGGATGAGATTGCAACCTCTGCCTTCCTCACAGTGCAGCTGGATGAGGAGCTGGGAGGCAGCCCTGTGCAGGTAAAGGAACAAACACAACCCAGCAGAAACCAAACCCCAACTGTGTGGGAATAAATAATACCTATATTACAGCCCTGCCCCCAGCTGGGTGCCGTGTGGATATTCCAGCTGCAAAGGCCATTTCTGGTACCTCTCGTGCTGCTCCAAACTGACAGCATGTTTCTTTCTCTCCAGAAACGAGTGGTGCAAGGGAAGGAGCCTCCTCACCTGATGAGCATGTTTGGGGGCAAGCCCTTGATTGTTTACAAGGGGGGAACCTCGAGGGAAGGAGGGCAGACGGCGCCCGCGGAAACGCGGCTCTTCCAGGTCCGATCCAGCACCTCGGGAGCCACCAGAGCTGTGGAGGTACGTGCAAGGGGAAGAACTCTGGTGTTGTTTGGACAGGCCCTGATGGGAACATGAACCCATGGAACAGGACTGGGCCATTGTGACTTGTGCTGAGCCCATTGTGTGACAACAATGCTGAAAGCAGGAAGAGCTAAATTCCCATGGAACTTGTGCCAGGACACAGGTTCAGAGTCCCACTCCTCTGGAAGAAAATGCACACAAAACCCTGTGCAACAACACAGAGATTAAATCCTAGTGAACAGGTCCAGGGGAGGTGACTCCAGTAACTTCCCAAGTTTCCAGCTTCAAGATGACCTGTCCTTGCTGACACAGAGGAGATGGTGTTAGTGACTGAGCAGTGTCCCAGCAGGGAACTGCTCTGCCAGGGGCTGCCCAGTGAGCTCCTGCATCTCCTGCCATGGCCATAGATTGGCAAAATGACAGAGCAGGCACTACATGTCCTGTGCACCTGTAGATCACAGAGAAACAGTTGTTTGCTCTTCCCATGTGGCAAGTCTAACTCATCACCTGGATACAGGGAACACACATCTTACAGCCTTACATGCTCCCAGGAGTGTGTTGTTTGTGGGTTATTCAACGACAGGTTCTGGTTTTATTTTGAACTAATGGGCTCTGGGTAGAGGATGGTTACATCTGACACCTGCAATGATCCTTCTTTTCAGCTGGATCCTACAGCCAGTCAGCTGAACTCCAACGATGCCTTTGTCCTGAAGACTCCCTCTGCTGCCTACCTGTGGGTTGGCCAAGGAGCCAGCAACGCTGAGAAATCGGGAGCACAGGAGCTGCTGAAGATCCTGGGAGCTCGCCCAGTACAGGTCTCTGAGGGCAGAGAGCCAGGTGAGGGGGTCACAGGGGAGCCTGACTCAAACCATAATAACCCTGCTGTGGTTTCCATGAACAAGTGAAGCACCAGCCTCTCTCTTGCAGACAATTTCTGGGCAGCCCTGGGTGGGAAGGCCCCGTACCGCACCTCCCCCCGGCTCAAGGACAAGAAGATGGACACCCACCCCCCTCGGCTCTTCGCCTGCTCCAACAAGAGCGGGCGCTTCACGGTGAGTCTCTGACATCAGTTACTTCAACATCCCCCTGCCAAGGCTGGGAGAACCTCAGTCCCAGCTGCTCTGAGCCACCCACCATCAGTGTCACCCCTGCTCTTCCTTTGTGCTATTTCTCTTGTATAGGTAAAGTGGTGCTTGAAGCCTGTGCTCACCTTAACCCTCTGTTTTCCAGATTGAAGAAGTTCCTGGAGATCTGACTCAGGATGACCTGGCTACAGATGATGTGATGATCCTTGACACGTGGGATCAGGTACCTCACGTTTCCAGGGTGACAAGGGGAGCAAAGAACAGGCACAGAGTGGCTCTAGATCAAGACCCGAATTACAACAGCCAGCAGTGCTGCTCTATAATAGGCTGTGCTTAAATCAGCCACAGGGCAACTTACTGAGTTTTAATGTTTTATGTAAAAATGTTCAAACATCTGCTGCTTTCCCCTGGTGTTAAACTAGTGTAGAATTCATTCACAGATCTACAATTTCTGTAGATAAAATGCAGGCAAAAAGCTTCTTAGATCAAGTGATGGCTTTGGTCTCACTGGGTCAACACCCCAGGCACACCCGACACGGGGATGTTCTGGGTCTGTGTCACCCTCTGGTCACTGAGACTTCATCTAAATCACCCCTTCAGAAAGAGACTGTTGCTGAAATAATTAATATGCATTTTTTTTTCTTTAGGTCTTTGTATGGATTGGGCAAGATGCTCAAGAAGAAGAAAAGACTGAGGCACTGAAATCTGGTAATGTCACATTTTCCTCTCTGAACTATCCCTTTCTCCCTTTCCCACAGTCTGCTCATGAGGCAGGCGATGCACATCCTACAGACCACAGGGTGAAAACTTTTGGGGGTTGGTTGGTTGGTTAAGTGGAGCAGCCATTTAGCCCCGATTCACTCAGTGAGGTTCCCTCCTCCCCCCAGCCAAGCGCTACATCGACACCAACCCCTCCAACCGCGACAAGAGGACCCCCGTGACCATCATCAAACAGGGCTTCGAGCCCCCCACCTTCTCCGGCTGGTTCCTGGGCTGGGATGACGAGTACTGGGCTGTGGATCCCCTGCAGAGAGCGATGGCAGACGTGGATGTCTGAGAACAGGTTTGACACAGAGCCAGTCAGTGCCTTCAATGCCTCCAAGAGCTCCTTCCTCCAGGACGCACATTAACGAGGGAATGATGTTAAATAGCCAAGTAGCTGTGCAATAATTTCCGAAAACAATCACGACCGGTCATTGACCCTCCTCCTTGCTTTGATTATATTTAATACAATAAAGCTTGTGTGAAATATGGGAAGAACAGAAATGGTGGGGTTTGTTACGAAGAAGAAAATATTAAATAGCACCTATAAATCCCACCTTTGAACCTCCTCGAAAGGAACACACCTTAGAACCCAAAACCTTCTTTGTGCCATCTTTTGCACATGGACTTCTCACTAAAGCAATTATTTTTGGAGGTTTGGGACTGTTTTCTTTCCCCTCACCAGAATTACGAGCATTTAAGACCCCGATAAATTAACAGTGTTCAACTCTTACAGACAGTCACTCGTTAGTAAACAGCACATCTTTTATTCAGAGGAGAGCAAAAAGCATCTCGTGGTGTCAACAACAATTCACAGGGGCAACAATTCACCTGCAGCAGCACCAGCAGGAGTTACAGAGTCACCGTGTTCCCAAAGGACCCCCCTCTGAGCACAGCAGTGCTGATCAGCCCAGCTTTGGTAACTGATTCTGCCCCCTCCCACCCAAAAGTTAAGCTCAGCTTACATGAAGTGCTGCACTGACAAACAGAGGAGTGTATTGCTTTGGTGCTGCAGAGGAAAAGGAAAGCTTTACAGCAAACAGGCAGGAAAGCACCAGCACTTGGGCATCTGCTGCCAGGGACAAAGGCACAGCTGAACAGGCCCTGCCTGTACTAAAACACCTGTAAACACAGAACTGAGCGTAGCAGAAAGGGGATAAACCCCAAGCTGTGAGGTTTATGCTGCCCAGTGTGAGAAGGGCACTTACAGCATTGATCTTGGCTTTTTGGTCTTGTTGTCAACTCCCAGAAGTTCAAGGTGCCAGACTCAGTGCTGGTGGCAGCCTGAAGAGCCTCCCCCCCTGCAGACTCCAATTCTCCTCATTTCAGTCTGTAATTACATCTATTAAGAGGTACAAAACATGAAGTTTAACAGCCAGCCAGGGTTGTGTGAGCTGAGGCTCACCTGCTTTGGGATGAAGTGTAAGCCCTTAGTGACACAACCACCCCTCCAGGTGTGCACAGAGCAGCACCACCAGGTAAAACCCCCGTGTTCCAACGGGTGTATCAACAGTGCAGCATCTCTGTTAAACACCACCCTGCCCCACCAGTTACAGACATCTGACTTCTACAGAAAGAAGGCTTTAGACCCGGGTAAAACGCAGTACTTTGGCTTTTAAAAACTCTTTTTAAGAGAAACAGATAAAGGCAGACCCTTTTCAGTGCTTTAAAGCAGCGCAACCCTACACAGACACAGCCCTGTAACAACACCAGCCCAGCAGTGACCACAAGCACGTTGTATCCATAACCACGGCATGTTTGTGCCGTTCCTGGGGGGCAGAACAGATGGAAAGTTCCACCAACAACTATTTCTCATGAATGGGGACTGGATTAGAGAGCAGGAGCCTCATTTTCACAAGTCCCCAGGACAGTATTCTCACTCCTGCATCTTTTCCTTGTGTAAGGCAGAGAACCAATCTGCTGACTCCATCACATACAGCTACACTCCAGGAGAATACAGCCACGGCTGTTCCACTTCCCTTGCAGGGAATAATTCTCTTTCCAAATGTTGGATCATCTCTACCACAACTCCTTTTCTACACTATTCGAAAAGGGGAGGTTTTGGGTTACAGGTGCCCCGTCCAGGACGGTTTGGATAAAGCTTATTTAAGATCACAACCTGCTTGTACTCCTTCTGAGAGGCTTTCAACTTCAAAGAATTGTAATTGTCCATATCCACAAACACTACGCACAAGTTTTATAACACACTTAGTAAAACAAAAGGGGTTCCTCAGCAAACCCACTTTGCCAACACTGGCAGGAGCTGCACCGCCCAGGAACGCAGTGCTGCAAAGGTGCTCCCGCCCCACCTACTCCTTGAGGCGCAGGAGGCCCTGCAGGATGTTGATGGGCAGGGGGAAGACGATGGTGGAGTTCTTCTCGGCGGCGATGGTGGTCAGGGTCTGCAGGTAGCGCAGCTGCAGCGCCGCAGGGGACTCGGTGATCACCATGGCGGCCTCCTTGAGGGCGCGGGACGCGTTCATCTCCCCCTCGGCCGCGATCACCTGCAGGGACACACAGCACAGCCCTCAGTGGGACCAGAGCCACTGCCCAGCACTCTGCCCTGGGGGGGTGTTTCACCAGGCTCCTGTTTGCTCTCCAGGCCCTTACTCCTGGTTTCCTCCCTTCTCCCGGTCTCCTCCCACCCCGAGAATGCCAGATCACAAAAGCTGGGTCTTTGAGCACAGGTCTCGAGAATGCCACAGGAGTATTTGTTCTGCCTTCAAAACCCTTTGTGCTTCTTTCAGCACTGCCTCTCAAGAGCAGCAGCACTCCCCCTGGACAGCTGAGAATACTTTCTCCTTAAAGCTGTATTTTTTTGTGTCTATAAGGGCGAGAAGGAATTGAGTGCTTATTACTGGGGAAATACCTTTCTATTCCCTCCTTTTTTTAAGTTCTCAGTTCATCAGGGACAGAACTGTGGCCTTTCTGCATTGGGATATAAACATTTTCTGAGTATTTGTCAAGGACAGCTGGGTTGGAGATGGCCCTGTTTTAACAGGGAAGGTACTGGTGTGTGTCAGCACAGGCAAGTGCACAGTCTCCTACAGAGTCCTACTGCAAGGGCACAGTATTCTTTTAAACAGCACAATAAATAATAATTAAGAAGTTATGAAGTAATTAAGCATCAAAATTAATATTTAACACAATCTGGCTGAGCACCTTCATCCTCCACATCACCACATGGAGTTATTCATGAAGTAAAAACCAAACCCAACCAAGGCCACCTCCCTGCTGGTGTCCTTACCTTGGCTCTGGCCTCCCGGGCAGCCTCTGCCTCTGCAGCCATGGCCCTCTGCAGCTGCACAGGCAGCTTCACATCCTTGATCTCCACACGCTCCACCTTAATGCCCCAATCATCTGTGGCCTCATCAAGCGTGGACTGCAGAAGGCAGGACAGGTAAGTTAAGCCACACACCCGACTCAAACTAATGCCCAGATTTGAAGAATGACCAATTAAACCAAATGAGTTATCTCAGAATTCTTGGGCTTTAAGGGCTTTAGTACTTGTATTATGATTTGATAATTATAAGAGCATAACTGTTGTAAGCTCACAAAAAAGCCCAGAGCTTGATTAATGTATTGAAGGAATTCTGTAGTATAATTTCCATCAACAGCAAGAACTGACACAACGACCCAGGGAAGGCCTCCTCTCCTGTATCCCTCATTCCCACTGGTCCATTACTGCTTTAGTCCCTCATTTTTATTTTAGAGAGTGTCATCCCAAGAGATCTTGAACAGGGCTTTGCCTAAAGCTCCAAACCACACCTTGGCTTATCACTTAGAGGTACAATAAATGCTCTCCTGTAGGTTCTCCCTGGGATTGCTGCTCATGCAGCCGTTTGATGGATCCCCACAGCTCGTACCTGCATGCACTGTGCAATCTCCTCCCGGTCAGAGAGGATCTCAGACAGGTTCTTGGTGCCCAGGACGTTCCTCAGGGTGGTCTGTGCCAGCAGGCGGGTGGCAGAGTCGGCGTTGGTGATGTTTGCCACAGCCAGGGTGGCGTTCTGGACCCGGTAATAAACCACCCCGTCCACGTTCACCGTCACCGAGTCCTTGGTCAGGATCTGCAGAGCAGAGAACACTCAATAAATATAAGGTTAATTATTCGGATCATTACCTCTTTGTTTTACCAACTCCTGGTTTTTCCAGAGTAAATTAGTTTTTCCACTGTCTTGAAAACAAAAGTCCTTGTGCACATTTGCTGCATGTGAACATGTCCCAGTGCTCATGAACCTTCCAGTACAGCTCTGTAAAGCTGAGACTAAATATGGGATTAGAACACTTCTCAGTGAACAATACATTCCATTAGCTTTGCCATAATGTTATTTTTATCTCACTTCTTTGAATTCACAGTCATACCAGCAAGTCATACCAGGGACAGGAAAGGGCAAAAAAGGCAGAAATTCTTTACCCTGAAACACAACTTCACCTGGGAAGGTCTAACCTGGGACTCTGGACCTGGCAATGGATCATCCCCAGGTAGGTCCCTGTGCTGCATTTTGTGAAGGTTTAAGCAGAGCTGTGTGAGAGGCAGCCTGGCCACAGGGAGGGTGGGCTGAGGTGCACACTGAGACATTTGGTGCAGAAGGGGGTCTGTGCACAGGGAATTCAGGGAACCAGAGCCATCCCACAGCTAAGCCAGAGAAGACTGGAAGCTTTCACTGAAGTACAGAATGGGGTTTGTCTGTCCCAGTGGCCTGATGTGTTCCAGCTGATGGGGGTCACCTTTACTTCCACATTTAATCAGAATTAGCTCTGTTATTATCCAGCAGTCCCTTGTCCTTGGAGGTACTTCTGGTGGAAATGCCACCTTTGCTACTTAAATGAGTACCTGGTGATTTCTAGACAAGCTGCAGAGGAGATCCAAGGTGTGAACATCCTCTGAGCTTGAGGCAAGTGAAACACTGAATGAAGCACTGGGATGTTAAGTGAAGGATGTACTTGCACAGATAAAGACAGGTATATTTGAAGGTTTGGAAGAGGGTACCCTAGAAAGATGCATTGATATTAATTCCACTTTAAAGGTAAGTTAAAAAGAATTGCAGGATGCTGCAGGAACATGGGAAGGGGTGTCCTCATTCCATGTCAGACAGTTCCTATTATGTTATTTGATGAGGAAGGGATGTGTGAATAACTCAACCTTCAAGACTTACCTGCTCTGCCCCTTCCCAAACCACCTCTTTCAGCAGGCTTTCCATAACAGCACAAGCTAAAGAATGGGCATCACACACAGAAATCATGCTGAACACATAAAAATGTGCCTCTACCTACAGAACACAAACCTAAATCCATAAGCATAATTTAATCAAGTCAAAAGAAAAACTGGATTACTGATGGCTTCACTAATGGCACATCAGCAGCTGCAGGCACATTCTGCCTGCCAGTGATTAGGTTTCTCCCAATTACCCTTCAGAGTGCACCAGGACAGCTGCCATTTGTCTCAATCCACAACTAACAATGTGCAACAAGCCAAGGAGCAAATCTGACAGGAA